CGTCTGATATGCGAAGGACGTAAATCGAGGACAAATCCATCGCACTCAAGTCACTTGTAGTAGTAAATGGAGAGGGCTGGGTACGGAAAACAAGGATTCAAAGAAAGTTTCGGATGTCTAAACCGTAGCCCACTTAGCGTTATCCACTCCGCTCGATGTACTGAGCAGCGTGGTCCTGATTATCTTGTGCAACTACCGATGCCCTATGGACTTCTTCGTAGTTTGTGTATGCACTGGAGTTTGTTTTTTGTTTACTGCTAGGGTTTCCAGCCACTAAGCAAGCGAAAGATTGGGGTTCTCAATCATTGCCGTTGGTCCTAACAAGAACGTACACGAATGGTAGCTGGTGAAACGAAATAGAAGCCCATTTACTCGGATCGAATACTCCTCATCATTTTTCCGACTGAAACGCCAATTGTAAACGAACCACCAATTTCAAGCACCAGGAGGCTGGACTGTGCATGACCTATAACCTTCGAATTTTCAGGCTTGTTTTGATCTTCGGCTTGAAAAAAGTCATTCTGTGTAGCTGGTTGATTCAAAGAGGTGCACAAGCCATCATATCACGTCAAGGTACATTCTCGTCCTGATGGGGCACTAACGCGTGACTGGACTTGTCTACTTCAATCGTTGCTGGTTAAGCGCAGTGTCACATTATTCACTCCACTTCAGTAACATATGTCATGCCTCTGTTAGGCAACCCACTCCGATTGACATTGTAAGTTAGGAAGATGCACGATGCATGGGGTGACATGCTTCTGATGGTGAAAAGCATTTGGGCAAGCTGAATGAGTCAGCTTATCGCAGTCTAACCGTCGCCTTATGGTGCGTTAGGAACCTACACCGAGGCAAACTGATAGCTCAGGGTAAACTAATACACAATCGGATTGGTGGAGACCTCTTCAGTATAATCGGCAATGGTGAAAACAACCCTACAATTTGTAACTCGTAGCGATATGCTACGTCGCTGACTGGAGAACGGACAGATCAAGTGGTACACCGTCGGTTTGAGCTTTTGAAGTTGGTACTGTCAAGGAATTGACGACGGTTGGAGCATAATACCAACAACCGTTTCCTGTTTCCTGAGAGACAACTATTCAGCCCAAAAGGGCTCCTAGATGCACTGCGTTCGAAGATCATCGAGCTACTTACTCTAGCATTCATATTTTCTGTTTTCGTTGGGTGACTACTTTGCTTGTGAGAGCCTCTGAGTCTCAATGCGCTCCACCGATTGCCGACTCTGGTCAAATTTAGCTGTGCAACTCTAGCTCTTACTAACAATCACGTCTAGGCCAACAAGACCGGAAGCTGCGGCCTCAGGGTCCTCGGGAAGTATAAGTGAAACTACACGAATTAGTTTGTTAGTGACGTCAATCGGCTGGTGGTTGTTAGAATCTTAGATACAATACACATCAATAGATAAAGCATCCACCCTTAGGAGCCTAACACACTTTTTCCCATTCCTATCAGGGTTCACACGGTTGATACAGCTAGTTTACCGGAGCATCAAGAACTAAGAAGAACATTAGCTATTCCCACGGTGTTTCTTGCGCTGTCAAGAATCGTTCGCATGGTCGCAATCGATTTGGTGTTATTTTTCCCCGTGAATCGTTAGCAAAAGTTTTTTCGGACAGAGTTCAACGATATTCGGTAAGATACAACAAATAACCTTTATAGATGATATTCTATTTTTTCCAAAACGGATCATAAACTTCATTTAATTTGTGGATTTCCTTTTCGGATTAATTGTGGAATAAACCGATAAAAATCGGTATGTTGATATAAGTAATTCTAAAACAGATCTCGATTTTACGGCTACTTCATCACANTCTGTGGTGTGTGTTCTAATTCCCAATTAGGTGGAACATGATTGGCACATGGTCTATCTGGCTCGCGAAGAGGGCAGCCCGGCGGAACACGACGGTTGTATTGAATGGGTGCTGGATTTGAATGAGACCGAATACTCGGTTGGCAAGGTGCGTGCAATCTACTTTGTTTGTTTGTTTGTTCGGCCGTCTATGGTTTGGCAATACCCGTGACCAATGTATTGCGTACGCTGTCGCTTTTAAAGCCATTTATTTTGAGATTTATAAAGGTAAATACATCATTTTTAACCAACCTTAAATATCTTGTAGATTTAAATTTTCCATTTTGACTCCTGATGGTAGGGATCCACTTTTTCGCTGACTATCCAAGCGCCAGAGTTCATCAAACTGGATGAGCACCGCTTATCAAAAGTTCACTGTTCGATCGCCGAAGAAGGTGAATAAACCACTGGAGGCTGTTTCATTTGTGAACTAATGGAATAAGTTGAACCACTACCGCGTGATTATATATATATATATATATATATATATATATATAACACCGGATTGAGAACAAGCATGGTGCCAACGCCACAAAAATATTAAAAATAACAATAACGGGAGGGGGCTGGGATACAGAGTATAGGGCAAAAGACGTATCTGCTAGAATGGAAGATTACGAAAAAATGGAACAATAATTTTTTTGTGTTTCACCGTTCACTTTGTTGTTTTTTGTGTTCTTTGTTGTTTTTACGGGACACGAGATTTCGACGAACAGACCTTACAGCATTCGCAGCACTGACTTCTATTCTGGACCTAGGCGATTGCCGGTCGACATTTAACCGTTTTGTTGCAATAATGTCGGTGTGAGAGCCTCTCCGTTGATGCACTTGTTCAGACTAAAAAACGAAAAGGATTTATCTGATTTGTCGCTTGATTGATGGTACACAGAATGCACAGGGGAGAACAGCATTTTGCACCGGGTATCGAAAAGACTAATATCAGAGTGGAGGTGGTCGGTAGACCTAAGGATCAATATGTTGCGGATTCGTAGATGGTCGTAGTCATAATTTCTGGATGTTCAGCAAGCTCTGACTGGTCGTTCTTTAGAGATGTGTGTTGAGGTGTCACTGGATCTCTGTCATACTAGCCTATCTTTTAGCCGTTCCAATTTCTCCAATATTTGTCCCCAAGTGCCACATAGATTGTTCGACCCATCAAACTATCTTTGCCATTCGTTTTCGAGTTTTATTTATTGACTTAATATGGACATACAAATTGTTTCTCGTAGTTTCGACGGACTGAAGTCATTTTTGCATTTTGTTGAAGCCGGGCTAGCACTTCGAGTGACTATCTCCAATGCCCTCGGTATAGCGGTATTTTGTTTCTGAGCCTTCATTTATAGATTTTTTACTTGGTTATTAGTGTTGTTAGGTACTATTCACATTTATCAGTAGTATGCAAAATAATTTGGTTGGCAGTTTCTCGCAACAATCAGAAATGAACAAGACCACGTAGAGCGAATCGTTGTGCATCAAATAATTACTCCGGACTATTCCACTCAGTAACCTGTGTGCTGCCGGCAATTGTGATTACATGTTTCAAATAAAACATCTTGTTATATCTATGCCAAATTTTCGATATATTAACTGTAATCCACAATAAACAACTTTCCTCCGTGAATCGCCTTCTGGAATTATAGCGTTAGGTTATCTTGCCCCTCCACTCTCGTTTTGTTATGTCATCTTTCGACCGGACTGAGAACAATGAGGATAATGAACCGAACCACCGAAGAGTAAATAGTGAGAGCGAACCACAAACGAAGTAGAACACGTCGACTAGTGGTAAACTGTTTGCACAGTTTGTCTAGCTCGACCGATGGGCAAAAAAGAATAATTAGTTTTGCCTTAGAAGTTCATTCGGTGGACTTCGGTCAGTTCTAAGGAAAACCAGTCGTGGCAGTCAGCTTACATGCTACCTGGTGGATGCCATATGCCTCTGCAAGTTGGATAGGTGATTCGAATGTGAAAAGATCAGTGCTATCGGTGTGGCCTCGTATTTCAGCTGGTAGAGCGTGCGCACAAAATCGTAGTCGGCGTCCATGCGTGGCTTCCAATTCCACCTATCAGCAATTCAACATAAGAATTCAATCTGCCAAACAACAATTTGATAAAAGAATTGTTTCATTGTTTTCCTTCCACGCCTTTATTGAATCCCAAGATGATATAATGCACCCACATTGTTTTCTCTCATATTTATCGGTGTTAGGTGTCCTTGTTTGCGTCCATGGTGTGCCACTCTGCGGAATCGCATGCGCAAATTACTTTGTGTTCGTCTCGCAGGCGGGAAACGAACAAAGAGCACGACGCGGGCGACACGAGAACCGAAACGCAAATTGACGAGGCTTCCGGTGGAGCCTGTGTCCGTGTCACACCTGGCTCGAATGGGCTGTTTCAAATGACTGATTTTGTGGGCGCGAAAACGCTGCGCCTGAGTGTTCGTCTCTGGTCCGACTCATCGTCTGCCCTGGCCTGGCAAAAGTCGCAACTGTTCCGTCAGAAGGTAAAACCAGCAAAGCGGATGAGAGCTTTAGGCACTGCTTCTTGTACATATGCTCTTTAATCGTTTTATATTCGAGGTTGGATGCTTTGTACTATATGCCCTTTATACAATTGTCTAAAGTATGTATCCGCCTAGTATCCACAAATTTGTACTGGACACCTAGTTTCTGTTAATTTTTTTATTACTGTGCAACTTCTCATTAAATGGACAAATAAGGGCAGTTTTTTCAAAAATGATAACCACAATCTACTGTCTTTTCCCGACCAACAGATTGTCGTAACAAAATAAGACATTGCTAAAACCATACTAAGTCTTGCCAAAAATAAAGTACCATTTGCCGAGACCAAAGTTATTTACCCTTCGCCAGGTCCTGTCGGATAAGCCCTCCTGACACACCATGTATTCTAAACCAGTTGTGGTGCAACCTTTATTTGTCTAATGTGTTGGATGTCTCCAGAATGCTCGTCTAATGGGACTGAACAACTCTGGTCTCAGTAATGCACGCTTCGTAGTTTGGGTTTAGTAATACCTAGTTTTATTTTGGCAGTCTTTGGTTTGGAAAGGCACAAAATAAATTACAACCGCTTAGACCTTTGTTCATAGTTCCCAAAGAAGACAGCATGGTTTTTTCCTAACGGCACTCAGTTGACCTTCATCCAAACTGGTGATTTAATAAGACGGCTAAGTAGAATTTTTATCTGCGATTCAATCGCACCTTTATCCGACGCAACTGTGTCCAGCACACCGTCAACATCCTCTGGAATCTTTTGTGTTTGTGGTGGGGAAAGCCGGTCGCTTTGTGTTGACATTTCGTTGCTGGTGAAAAATAAGTCCGTCATTGCAAGGTGGACTTGACGGACATCTAACTGGATGCGTCAGGTCTGAGTTTTTGGGAAACATGAGAAGAATTCAAAATTCGAAGTCCTGACAACGTGAGTAGTAAATTGCTTCAAATGTGAAAAATACACAGTGCGTTTTCTCCAAACTGGATCGATAAAGATTGGACGGGTTTATGAGTTCTGATCACCCATTGCAATTTTACACAGTTTCGTTGGGCAAAAGTGCAACTAAACTACAGCTGAAGATTCCACTGGCAGGGTTTTCGTCCTAGTGAATCACGTGGTACCTTTTTACATTATGGGAAGAAGTAAGAATTCTTATCCGTTTCACTTTGGTTCTTAAGTTAATGCGAAAGTTATTTCTGAGGCTACGGGTACGTAGAATGCCGGTAATTCTGTTGTTTCGATGTAGCGAGCTTGAGGTAAACCAAGCTCAGAGGTTGCCAAGTGGATAAACTATTAGTAGGACGTCACCGTCTTTCGCCTAGTCCTCGGAACTCGACAACGCGAGATATTTAGTTGTCTGCGAAAAACTCGCTTGATCGTATGGTATTTACTAAACTTGGAATTCCTCAGACCCCTAAAACTCATTGCAACAGATGCGAGTCCCTTGTAAACTGTTTTTAACGACTGTCTCAAAATTACGCCTCAAGCTTGCTGTCATTGTTGACACAAAGGTATATCTGCAAAATAGCTGAAATAATTTTTAATATGCTTTGTTCAACGTTGACCATCGGTTAGTGGAGTGTCTGGTAGCCCTTCTTTTAGTTTTTGTAATTCTGAACTCGGTTCCAGGTGATTATATAGATTTGTGCGTAATTTGTTTCGGTGGACTGGGATCCTCGATTGCTCCTTAAAATTTCATAATGAATTGTTTGCTATTCTGCTTGATGTTTTATTCGCTTTCTCCGAGATACCTAGTCTTCACGGATACTTAATGTTGCTCCGTTTTTCTCACTCATCTTGTCCTTTACGTCTCGTTGTATATATTTATCGTCCTTTTTACTTTGTTTTTTTTGCACATCTTACGTGAATGACAGGATACAGACTACGTCCTCTGGCCTCTCGAGTGGAATGTGGAACTGATTCATGATGAGAAAACCGAGTAAAACAAACGTCAACTTCGAAAGCAGTCTGCTCATTCCCCAATATATCGCTTTCATCAACTGTGGGAAACTTCTGAATTCCATCGCTTCAATTTCCCTCCCTCTCTCCTATGTATGTTTTCACCACCTCGTGGCCGAACACTCATTTGTGATAGATATCTCTTGTGTTCTGGTCCACGGTCATCCTGACCACCTCATCGTCCTCATCTCCGCCGTTCACCCCAGGGGCATCCACACCAAATTAACTAGGTTAATTCACATTTCCTCTCACACACGGGTTTGTGATTCTCCCTTATGCCACCGGTTCGGTGCAGCCATCTGCAGGAAAAGTTATGCACCTGTTTGTTGGAATACATTGAAACGATCTACCCGGTCCAGATGTTTACTCGTGAAATCGATCCAAACTGGCGGACTACCTCCTGTTTAAGCCAAAAGATATGATACTGCACACAAATGTCGTTGTTTTTGTTGTTCGCTCACGGTTGGTTGGTTACCGTATTTCAAAGTCAAAGTTTTATTATGTGAATAACTTACAAGCTCACGCTTCTCTTGTCCCATAGGATATTTACACAGATGAGTCGGTACACTTCGGAAAAGAAGTCACATAGAGTTCCGGCTAGGAGATAATAGAGAAAGTAGGCTACAGTGAATTTCTGCTTACTTTTATTTGGTGTAAGACTGAGAAGTGTGCCAAGGTTTCGTCGAGTCTCTGCTTGAAAGATTCAATAGTGGGTGCACAAACAACATGAGATGGAAGGGCGTTCCAAGATTTGCATACTCTGACTGCAAAAGACTGGCGCCGGTAATCCAGTCAATACTTGGGAATCAGTGAAACGGTGTCCCCTTAGGTGTACATTTTTCGATAACATGAGCAGCGATCGACACGGATGGTTTGGGTTCTGCAGTGTTTGCTACGTCAAAATCAAGTCTCCTTGAGTTCGGCGGTACTGTGCAGAATATAGTCCCAATGATCGCAATCTCTCCTCATATGTCAGGTAATGTAATCCCTTGATCATCTTGGTGGCCATCCTTTGTGGACGCTCAAGCATCCTGCGGTCACGTTAAAGCCATGGACTCTAGGATTGGATGGCGTACTCTGTGTAGGGTCGAATGTACGCTGATAGCAAACGTGGGAATACTGATGATTCAAACCGGCCGAAGTAAGCCGACATTCTTCAGCAGCAGACGAAGCCTTAGCACAGTTGTTGGAGCAGCTTAAATCCTCTTGAACAACAATACCTAAGTCCTTTTCGATCCAACGTGTAGAATGTGCGCATTTCCGTTGAGAAATATTTATTTTCTACTACACTCCTCAGTCGCTTCCTCATTGTCCTCAAAAGAGTGTCACTGTTGAAAGGCAATGGAATGTAAACACTTCTTTTCCACTGTTAGATCGTTTGAGTTTTAATTTAGGCTCTCATGCAACCATCGATAAGTTCCATCGCGACGAGACTGCACCTTGATGCGGTGCAGTAGTTTGTGTCGCTCTGACCCAATGGGCTACACAGGATGTCTTTTGTCAAGTCAGGAGATCTTATCATGCCTAGAAGGTCGATGGATAGAGGCCAGACGAAGTCCAGTCCCATGGTTCTCCAGGTTAGGGGTAATATTCCAGTTAGCGTCTCAATCGGTAAAATGGTAGTGGAGTAATAGAGCGAAGTAAAGGGGCCTCTACTTTGCTTTACCCGCTACTTTGAGGTCAGGTTCTTGTTAAAACAAAAAGATTTTGGACGAGCACCCTAATCGTTCTCCTGTTTAGTAGCTGGACGTCCTAGAAGTCCCTGTCCATCAAACCCCAGTGCATACACAGAATAAAAATAATTCCATACTGCGTCGGTCTTCGCACAGGATAATCAGGACCACGCTGCGGAGTGGATAGAGATAAGTGGGCTACTACTAAAACATTCCAATCTTTGTCTTCCGTACCCAGCTCTTTCCATTTACCACTTCTTCCGACCTGTAACAGTCCCTCAAGTACTTGGATGTCACTTGACAAAGGTCGTTGCCGAATAGCACTAATTAATGTACCACGAAATGAATTGCAGATTCTAAAGCCTCGTCAATCACTGTATCTGTGATCCTTGAATGTAAGGGCTCTGAAATAGGTGGGTCAACAATCTGATCCGGCACGTACAATGGAATCCGTAGGAACCGATGCTTCCTGGGTATCGGAGATGAGATCATACTCCTACAAGTGACTTGAGTGCGATGGATTTGTCCTCGATTTACGTCCTTCGCATATCAGACGATGACGAAATTCGTTCAGTGGGTCAGTGCGGGATAGGTAGTGTGCTCAGTTACACGGTCCAAGCCTCTTTCATCGACTGGATCCCCGTCAAGTCGTTTATGTGCGATACGTTCCAAGGTCGATCGGAGGCCGGAAAGGAAGCAACATTAAAAGGTATCTATCTGTTCACTATATCGGCATGCGCACGACCAAATGCAGTTCTGAAAGGGGGATTTCTACGGAAACATCTCCCGGGTCAGTCGAAGCTCCTATATGGTTGTACTTGCAGGTGACTTCAATGCGCAGGTTGGAAAACTGGGCGCATCAGAAGTTTGCCTAGGCGCTAGTTATGCTCTACCCTGCCAACAAACATATGACGGCGATCGACTTCTTCAGTTCTGCGCAAACACCATCTGTTACTACCAAGCACTTACTTCTGACACAGCTTTCGACGGACGGCACCGTGGTGCTCCAGCTCGAATGGTACGTTAACTCAACTCGACCACATAGCAGTAAGCTACCGTTGGCGTGGCTCAGTAGGTCCTATTGGGCCATCTGCGTCGAGTCTGATTACGCATTAGTATTGATGCAATTCACTAATCGACTGACTGGTCGACGATAAAACCAGTAAATTCAGACAGCTCATCATCGACGGTTTGTGCCTACAATTCATGCACGCTATGAGTCAACGTGATGATGCAGATGAGCAGTGGGATCAGATTAGGCGAGTAGTGCATTTCTCAGCGAATGTTGAATGTGAGTCTACACCTCAAGCTCGTTGGAAGCATTGGACACACCATGAGGCAGTAGCCCTAGTGAAGAAAAACCTGCAAATCCCGACCTGCCAGGATTGGGAATAACTAACGATTTAGCATCACATGATCGTACAGGTGAATGTGTAGATGCCCTCACAAACTGGTGCTCAGGGGGAAAACGGCAACTCTATTTCGTAAAATGAAACGCTGTAATGGCACGCCTCGTTCCGAAGGGAGCCGGTGTGTCGGTTTGTAACCCTCATTCCCATCTAGTATTGGTTAAATGCGCTCATTAGGTTGACTATACAACATCTGACATTTGGATTGTAGTCAGGGAATAGATGTGCACAACAGAGTGCATCGATCGGAAGGAGATTTTACTTGTGCTCCCCGCAGCTGGGGTCAAGCCGCACCACTGTATGGGGAATTGATGATGGGCTCCTTTCTCCGAATGAAAATGTCCCAGTAGTACGATACCCTAATAAAGTCACTGTACTGTGTCAGGTACCTCTGGTCGAGTGATGGTTTTGAACGAACTATTGTGGTAATCGTAATAGTAGTGAATGTAGGAATACGAGAACGCGTACTGTAATGCTCAGAACTGGATTGGTTCCAACCCGAACTGCGGGCATCAATGGAATACTCGAGGAATAGCAGCAAATGCTTATGTTCATTGATAGATTTAGAGCATGTTTTATAGAAGATAGTAGGCCCTTTAATTGGTTGAAGGACCATTGTCCAATTACGTAACCGTTCGCGTCGACGCATTACATGTACTAACTCTAATGTAATGTTCGCCCGGTGTACCATTGGTCGAGCTTCCTGAACTGTCGTGCCTGGAATGCGGTCGCGTAAGTCTAGATCACCACAACTAGGTAGGCCGTTTGTCACCAGCAGCGGCGTTCGTCAAGGGTGCCCTCTTTTGCCGTTCGTGTTCAATTTCATCGTAGACGAAATACTGGAGGACGCACTTAGTGGTCTCCAGAACGTAGGTATTGAATTTGTAGGTGCGAAAAGACTGTGAGATTTGGATTACGCCGATGACATCGTCCGTCCATTCGAATGTATGGAGTACGCACAAAGCGCACTTGATAGACTAACAATGTGCTGTTGCCACATTCGTTATGTGCTTTGCACCTTCAAAGTACAAGGTGATGCTGCAGGACTGGGTTTCGCCTACTCCCGCTCTGAAACTAAATGGTCAGGATTTAGTCGTGGTGGATTACTTTTCCTACCTACGTAGTTGCGTGACCAACGATAGTAGTGTAGCAAAGGAAACAACCGCTCGCATTTCCAAGGCACGAGCAGCATACGCAGGGCTGAAACAGCTTTGGCGTGGAAGCGACCTTTCACTGAAGTTGAAAGATCGTGTACATTGTGCTAGCGTTCCTTCGGTTCTACTTTATGGTTATGAAGCCTTGAATTTGCAAATAGAATATACCCGTCAACTACAAGTTTTCGATTATCGGTGTTTACTTAGTTTAGTCCACATGGGATGAAGCAAACGGATTAGTAATCTAGAGATAAGCCGTCATGTGTTTTGAACTCTATCATGTATAAACCTGCTTGCACATCGAATTCAGGTTAGTAGACTTCGCAAGTATTACGTATGCCCAGTTACCGTCTACCACATCGCGCCTAACTTGCTGTAGCTGTTTCGGGCTGGCACTTTGTGATCAAAAGATGACGTGGAGACGAGGCATGAAGAGATGCACAGAGCCATTAGATAGAGTAGGTGTCGCTCACCTTCCAGGTTGGGGTCTGAAAGACTCCAGCA